GCCGCCGCTCTTGAGCAGCGCGAGCCCGAAGTTCTCGCAGGACTCCGCGCAAGCGTCCGAGCTGCTCCCCGTCCCCACGAAGAGCCGGCCCTGCCAGGCTGGGCCGACCCAGAGACTCTCCTCTTCCTCCTCCTCCTCCTCCTCCTCCTCCTCATCATCATCATCATCATCATCATCATCCTCCTCCTCCTCCACCTCCTCCTCCTCCGCTCCTACGAAATTGGAGCGGCTGGCTTGGGACTATTTTCGGCCTCTGGGCCCTCGCGGGGCCCTGGGACCTGGGACCGCCAAAAAACGACTCAGGAGGACGAAAATCTGGCCCTGGAGAGAAGTTGTCCCAACCTCAGGGGGCCCACACATCAAGAAACTTGGAGCGGCCCGATGTTTGGGGAGCCCAATCGAAAAGTCGGATCGGATCGGAGAGGGATCGGATCGCTGGCGCATCGTCGTCCGCAGCGGATCGAAAGCGGATGGCCGAGCCTGGCTCTGGCCAGCACAAGCCGTTGTCGGTGAACCGAGCGGAATCGCATCGAAGCGAAGCGGAATCGCGGCCCCAGCGGGCGAGTCGCATTGCAGTGGATCGGATCGCAGGCGGCCCTGCCAGGCCTCCACCGTCGCCACTTCCCCACGGCGTGGCCCCCGGAGTTCACGGCCCCATCTTCACGGCTGTACGTGAGAGTGACCCTGGGTAAGAGTGGCCTTTGGTGCGCGGCTTTGGGGGGGCCGCGGGGGGACCCAACCTGGGCGCGCAAGCAGCTGCCGCTCCTTCGTTCTCGGCCAGCTCGGGACCCCTCTGTGCCCGCACCACAGGTCACTCCGGCGAAGGGTCACTCTTGCGTCTTCGGTGGCAACTCATGGGAGCCTCCCATACCATCTTGTCGGCTCTTGCGAATCGACGCTAATCGACTCTAGTCGACGCTAACCGACGCTAAATCGACGCTAACCGACGCTAACTGACGCTAAATCGGCGTTCTCTCATCGACCCCCAGACGCTACTCGACGCTAACCGACGCTAAAGACGGAATTGAAAGGGTACACCAGGCTCCCATGACTTGCTACCGAGGTCACTCCGGCGAAGGGTCACTCTTGCGTCTAGTCGAATCTTCACGGCGGGCACTTTTGGGCGGCCGCTCCTGTCGGCGGCGAGCCCCGGGGGGGGGGGGGAAGACGGAGGGGGCGCGGGGGTCTCCTCAGCAGGCGCAGCAGGCCTCCAGCCCGTTGAGAAGCTTTCGGGGCCGTCCCCGCAGCCACGGGCGGCCTCTCCGAAGGCGCGAAGGCATCTGAGAAGCCCGGCCACCTTCGGCGGGGAAAAAAACACACCCTCCAGCAAACCACCCTTTCTAGTGAAGACGGCCTGCAGGACCGACACCGACGGACCTGGGCCCGCGAACGTCACGGCCGCGACGCCCTCCCGCGAACCGACAACGGCCCAGTCGCTGATCGACGTGTCAGGGCAGGCGGCCAAGAGGGGGGTGCCCAAGAGAGGGGGGGGGTGGAAATCATGACCGGCGGCATGTGCGCGGCCCAGCGGGGGGGCCAGGGACGTAATGAAATAAGAAGAGGCGCCATGAAATCTGAAGAAATATCATGGCCCGCGCCATGATATCCACCACTGCCCCCCCCCTGGGACGCGCCGCCGATTCCCGGGGTGGCCGCTCTTCGCCCAGGGCCGGCCCTCCCGGGCCCCCGCCGTCGCGCTGCCCCCACATAAAACGACGCGAAGATCGGAACAAAATCGGATCGGGATAACTCGAAATCTCTGAGAATCGGCGGGTTTGGAGGATGTATTGGGCGCCGCGGCCGCTCCAGAGCGTTCCGGAACGCTCTGAGAGCGCTCCAGAACGCTCTGGAGCGATTTATCCCGATCCTAGCCCTGTTTTATACGCTACCGAGGAGCCCCACATACTTATATATTATGGCTGGAGTGATGATGGCTGAACTGAAGCATGTGAGAATGAAGCCGGCGGCCGCTCCCTGCGCACACCCTACGGTGTCGACAAAATGCCACGCCTGCTACGCCCTGGACGACCGGCTCGGATAGCGGCCGCGCTGAGAGACCACCCCCTGCGGACCCCCTAAGGTTACGAGAATATGCCACGCCTGCTACGCGGATGGGCGGAAAGGGAGGGAGGGGCGGAGTGGGAGGGTGGGAAGGAGGATGGGGGCGACAGAAACCAGGGGAGGGAGGAGGAACGAGGGCGAAAGGGACAGGGCGGAGAGGAAAGGGAGGGACGGAAGGAAGGAGAGAGGATTCTGCTCTCGAGGAGCCAGTCGCCTTTTGTGGGAACTCCGCTGCGTTGCACAAAGCCTGCGAAGGTTTACCGATGGGCGCAGGAAAGCGGCCGCCGGGGGAGGTCGAGGAGGGAGGAGGGAGAAGGAGGGAGAATAGGAAGGAGGAGGAAATGAGGGAGAAGAGGAGGGAGGAGCACAGGAGTAGGTAAGGAGGCAAGGGGAGAGGAGAGTCATGCCAGAGGGGCAAGGCGAGGGGGGGAGAACGCATCTCGTTGAAAGGGAATCTACGGAGCACCAGCGCAGAGACCCCAGCGGCGCAGCGCGGACGGGCATGCCCTGCGCAATGGTCCGCATAGACGCCACGCTCAGGGACCACCCCCTGCGCACCACCTCTGGTGTCGGGAAACAGCCACGCCTGCTATGCCCTGCGCCATGACTCGCATGGACGCCGCGCTCGGGGACCACTCCCTGCGCACCCCCTCTGGCGTCGAGAAAGTGCCACGCTTGCTATGCTCTGCGCCATGGCCCGCATAGACGCCTCGCTCGGGGACCACCCCCTGCGCACCCCTTATGGTGTCGAGAAAGTGCCACGCCTGCTATGCCCTGCGCCATGGCCCGCATAGACGCCGCGCTCGGGGACCACCCCCTGCGCACCCCCTATGGTGTCGAGAAAAAGCCACGCCTGCTATGCCCTGCGCCATGGCCCGCATAGACGCCGCGCTCGGGGACCACCCCCTGCGCACCCCCTATGGTGCCGAGAAAATTCCACGCCTGTCATGCCCTGCGCCATGGCCCGCATAGACGCTGCGCTCGGGGACCACCCCCTGCGCACCACCTACAGAGTCGAGAGAATACCGCGCCTGGTATGCCCTGCGCCATGGCCCGCATAGACGCCGCGCTCGCGGACCACCCCCTGCGCACCCCCTATGGTGTCGAGAAAAAGCCACGCCTGCTATGCCCTGCGCCTATGGCCCGCATAGACGCTGCGCTCGGGGACCACCCCCTGCGCACCCCCTATAGTGCCGAGAAAATGCCACGCCTGCTATGTCCTGCGCCATGGCCCGCATAGCGGCCGCCCTCTGGGACCACCCCCTGCGCACCCTCTATGGTGTCGACAAAACCCCACCCTGCTGTGCCCTGGACAACCGTCGTGCTGTGCTGTGCTGTGCTGTGCTGTGCTGTGCTGTGCTGTGCACTGCTGTGCTGTGCTCAGCTGTGCTGTGCTGTGCTGTGCTGAGGTGCTATGCTGTGCAGTGCTGTGCTGAGCTGTGCTGTGCTGAGCTGTGCTGTGCTGAGCTGAGCTGTGCTGAGCAGTGCTGTGCTGTGCTGAGCTGTACTGCGCTGTGTGAGAAGGAGAAGGAGGAGGAGGAGGAGGAGGAGGAGGAGGAGGAGGAGGGCAGGTGAGTGAGGGCCGCGGGTGCGACGCGGCAGGGAAGAAAACCAGAACCCCACGAAACAGGTGGGGAAATAAATACACACAAATAACAGGATTCCCCATATCCCCCATATTTTCTGGGTTTTTCTCTTCCCCCCACTTCCCATATTTCCCATATTTCCTGGGCAATCGACGATTAATTGTGTCTGTGTGCTTTTTCCCCTCCTGATCTTCATCCCGAGCCGGCCTGAGAGAACTGCGTGCCCTCGAAGCCGCATCCGGCTCCAAAAGAACGCAGTTCTCTCAGGCCGGCGGCACCGGCTTTCAAAACACGCCGTTCCCCAAGGCCGACTCGAGTCTTCGACGGCCCTGCACAGGGTGCCTGGCGAGAGCTGCCCGGGGCCGAGAAAGCTGCCAGCAGAACGGCTCCCGCCGTGGTCTTGCTTTCACGATACGCGGGCCGGCGAGGGCCGGCCGGCGCTCGGGTCATATAGGTGAGCGTTTCTGCTTGCTCGGCGCTTCGACATTGGGCGGCAAGGAGTCGGGGGTTGCTACAGATGCCCCTGGCCCAAAGTGCCCCCAGCTCTTCGCTCAATTTTGGAGCCCCTGGGACCCTCTGGACCTCCCAAGGGGTGCTCTGGAGGCCGTGGGGGGCCTCCATGGAAATCCTGGGGGCACCTTGGACCAGGCGCACTTCTAGCAACACCCCAAGGGAGGGGGGGGGGGGAGTCTGGCCCCGGGCCTCTGCTTCACGCGACGAATGTTTGCTTGCAACGGTGCGCCCTCTCGGGGAGACCCCACCCGCTCGAAACGGGCGCGCCAGGAACGGCCAAGACCTGCTCCACAGGGGGGGGGAGCGGGGGGCGGGGGCGAGCGCCCGCGCCGATCGGCAAAGCAAGGGATACAGAAGCGATCACCAGCTCGGGCCTCCGGCGTCCGTTCGGGGCGCTCCCGGCACCCCCAGAAGAATAGCGGTAGGTCGGGCCTGTCCCCGCACCGGCGGATGTGGGGCGAAAGACTGAGAATGGTCCCCAAAAATACCCCCAAAAAGGCCCACAAACGGCCGAGACATCGTCCCTGGACTATCCTTTTGGACTGTTTTGGCATACTCCTCCTGCAGAGAGGGACACGCCCGACTTAACTGCCTTCCTACCAAGCCACCCCAACCCAACCTTAAGAACCGATTTTTGCCTGAGTTTCGGGTTGGGGGGGGCACGGGTTCCATGTGTTTTTCCAGTGTTCCCCGACCCCCCCCCCCCACACTAGATATGGAGGGCACATCGGGGCCTTCGGGTTGGGTTGGGGTGGCTTGGTGGGCGGTGATTCACACGAGCTCGGGCCTGCAGCGCCCGTGCGGGGCGCTGCCGGCAGCCCCTCGGCAGGGCGCAGCGGC